TTTCCTACAATCATCATTTCTCATGTAAAATCTGATGAGTATCAAAGAAAACAAAAATTCACGACTTATCTGGTATAACTCTTTATTTACAAAAGATTATCTTCGTATGTATGAACATAGCTTGCTCACAGTGCTAGGAAAAAGCTGCACAGAAAGGAGGACACTTTGATCAATCACAGAGGCAGTATAATTCTTTTTACAAGTTCTCTGGAATCGCCAGTGGACCCGACATGTGACATGTTATAGAAAAATTACACTATGGGTTCTTTTCTAGGTAACCTAAAACACTGCAACTGTGATAGTCCAAAATGACAACTTTACAATTCCATAATTACAATCTAAACAATTAACAGGTTGATCTAAAAACAAAATCTTAAAATTAGAAGTGAAATAACCATAACTGATTAAAATTGGCTCACTCATAATTCCCGGTACAAACTACACGACAGACTCTGGATGTTCACATGATATTGGTCAATATAAAATCCTTACAAAACATCTTAAGAACTCTTAATAACTATGTTATAATTGTCTCATTCAATATTTACACCTGCATTCACACATATGAACTCCGACAATCAGAATATAAACTATTGATTGTATATCCACATTAAGGAAACAATTTTTTTATAGCTTGCATCAACATTCACCGAACAGTAAAGCTGCTTGACAATGCTTTAGAGCTACTGGCTAAAGCTTTGCAAACTTTCCTTAAAGATCTGATGTAAAACGACAACAACTCATGCCTGTTTAATCATTACCAATCATAAATGCATTAACAATCCATCCATTAAAATGCTTTAAACAGATATCTTTCATATACGCTGAATCAAGTGGTAACTGATTTTAAGGCAATTATGTTTCCCCCTTTTCCCCCTCATTTTCAATGATCATGTGATAAATGCCAGGTCATAGTAGTTAAAGCTAATGTTACATCAATCATTTCAAAATCATTTGGCAACCCTTTTTAAAAATGACAATAAGTCACAAAACATTTTTAAAAATTGGATAAAAAATGTGCCCCAAATAATTTCAGATCAAGATCCCCCAATAAATCCTCTTTCAATTTCTGCATGAAATGTGACTAATACAGTAAATTTTCACGATCAGGAATCATTTTCCAACTGGACAACACAGAAAACAAGCAGTATGAAGTAGTATACCTCCTTCAAGCACACAATCACTGACCATGTCACAGTACCACATAATCACCACATTCTCTACTGCTTGAAGTTTTAGGTCACCATAGTTTAATGTACGCGCAAAAAAGAATTTGGACACATTAAGTCCTTTGTAAGATTGTATAGCATTTTTAAAAATATATATGTATATATATAATATATATCTAATATATATAGATATTACAATCAAATCACAACTGAAGTATATTTTCTTTTTTCATCTTTTTTTTCTTTATTAAGATGCAGACTGAACGTGAATGGATCCCTTTAAAATATTTACTATTTGCATTTTCATCTGGAGTTGTTTGAGGTAGAGGCGTGGAAACATCATGGTCCGAGTCGTCTGTTGACATGGTAGCCCCATCGGCTGCAAGCTGGTCATCAGTCAGATCGAGTTTCCAGCAGAATGTACACCACATCATCCAGGAGCGTTGGCTTTTCTTCACCTTTTTTCTGTGCTGTCCTGGTATCACCATTCCTCTCTGTCCTCAGCAGTCTCTGCTGCTCTCCCCTCTCCCTCATCATTCCCTTTGTTGTTCAATTATCGGCATCTGATTTGTGTTTCGCATTCTTCGCAGTTCAGTCAGAGAGAAAGAGTCATTAAGGTCTCCCGACAAGTCTCCCACCTGGAAGGAACATATGAGGAATTTGTTAATATTACACACAAGCACAATAGTAAGGAGCACTAGATGCTTTCTAAGACATGAAATATAGGAAATAGAAACAAAATTATGGCAATTCTTTTTCTCCCTAATTTTCCTTACATTTACAAACAAAATCACTGAGCAATAATATCCAATGCATAACAAGAAAAAATCAAATGAAATTCTAAGCAATCAGTTTCTATTCTGTTAATGAATAGATTATCTTCTTGATACTTCATATGGAATATGTTTTGATACTACATATGTACTACGAAATATGGAAAGCTTTATTATGCGCCAAAATCTACAGCCTTGATCGACTTTCAACTTTTAGAGCCTGATTCTTAATAGCGGCTTTTGTATGATTTTTAAGCAGGAAAAAATTTGACAACTACAACTCAGACAGATATTAATCTATTCTCATCGGCATAAAATGTTAATTATTTGTCTACGCGATGAAAACTACCATAATTATTTCCACTGGAAATTCTAACAATAAATTACTTACAAACATCAGCAAGAACATTACTAAGACAAAGGGCTTTTTTATTGTTTTAATGAAATCTAAAAAGGTTAACTAAATACAGTACTTTAAAATATAAAAAATAATATCAAAACAAATTCAAAAAAAAGAAGAAGACTATTACGTTAGCATAACTGGAGACAAATACTAATGTAACAGTAAAAAAGAAATACAGATGATATACTATTCATTGAAGGAACCAGTAGGCAATAAGTTATCAATGTTGATTATCGAAATCTTGAATAAAACATTCACATAAATAATGGCATTTCAGAGTTAAATTTAAAATGAAAAAATTTAAAAAACAGAAATTCTGCACAGAAATGTTGGCAATGTATATGGAATAAATCTGATGAACAGTTCACATAATAATGCCATTCCCTCAATTAATGCTTTAAATATGATATCAGCAGCAGAAATTCTTGTGTAGGCCTGTTAAACTCTGGATTGCCTAATTGTTTGACTTAATTATCTTCTTTCCAGTCGGTTCCTTAGGGATATTTGCATTTATTCTCATGTGTTTTAGAGATATATTTTCTCAAAAGGTTTTGATTTTCATTATCAAACTGAAGATGTAAAAATAAAATGCGTCTTTTAATTAAACAGTTAAACTTCATCAGCTTAGTTTTAATTATCCAAAAACAATAACTTTTAACAAATATTCTAATCAATGGCAAAAATAATTTCAAAAACAAAAGAAAGGAAAAACTAAGGGTTTGCCAAGAAATCTTGAAGATGAATATTGTCGAAATAAACAAACACATGATTAATGAAAACATAATATTTAGAAGTTTCGGAAGTTCTGACAAATCATAAAATAAAAAATACTTTAAAATTCAAGATAAAACCTAGTGAAAAACAGTAAGGAAGAGACAAATGCAGTGACTGTACATAACAATAGTGGCATTACAGAGAAACCTGAAAAAGACACAGAAATATCACTCACAAAGTGCAGACAGAAATGGGGTGAAAAGATTTAATTAAACAGCAGTACAATATACAGAAAATACATTGTGATTCAAAGGCAAAAATACAAAGACAAAGTGATCTTAACCAGCAAGAAATAAAGGAGATAAGTTTCAGAATAAACAAAATGGCACTACATTATGAGAAAATTTAGTAAAGTACAAGCTACTTTAACAAAGAGGAAATACAGAAAAAAGAAGGCAAATAAAGATTTGTTAGTGTAAATTTCATGTGCATATACATAGCAATGGTGGGATTACATCAGTTGTCAAAAAAACTGAAGCTGCTGGTTGACAAACATTGTCACTTCAGTATCTGATTAAAATATCTTGTTCTGCTCTCCCTTCACATTATAAGCTGTTCTGCTATATATAACACTAATATGTTGTATGACACAAAATGTACACATGCACATGTGGTTATGTAAATGATGCAGCCTACATTGGTCAAAATACAAGTCATTGGAGCAACTCATTTTAAACCGATAGTTTACCAGATTCTCATCTTATTCGATGTATAACCAGGTTCATTAGTAGTCCAATTTATCATTCCTGTTGTATATAAAAAAATTTTACTTTAATTAAAACAATTTAAGATTCTGAAGAGACAATTCGTTTTTTAAAATTGCAGACCGCCCCAACAAGCATCCCCGCCAACATCCCAATGGGGCAGAGAGCCATGACACTGGCTCAGCTTGCTGGAGTGCTGGTGGCGGATTGGCAACATAACAGCTGAAGAGGTTTATGTCCCAGAGTCTGTGATTTAGAGGAGAGTGCAGCGGCCAGAACACAGATGTTATGTGGCAGCAGCCCACAGATCTGTGGTAAATGCACTTGACCAAGGCACTATCATAGAACTCTTAGGTCCTTTATATACATATACTGTAAGATCTGTTGGTGCCACAGTTGGAGGGTGCTGGCAAGCAGCTATTGAGGGTGATGTGGTTGTCCAGCCTTCATCACAGTCTACAGTTGCAGGTGGAAGAGGAACAGCTGCTTCTAGTCTTGCTACCAGGTGAAAAAAACAACAACTTGGCAACTGGACGCAGGCTTAAGAAGATGTATAAAAAAAGAGTGGGGCTACAATATGCCTTTAAATAATCATTCCCAAGCACGCAACCTCAGTTCTAAGGGCTAGTTGGAGAGGCCTTTCCCATCTGCTCTTTGATCTTACTTAAATACAAGTGTCTGAAATAACTTTCACAAACAGGAAGAGGGTGTTACTAACTGAATTACATTGAGAAGTAGCAGGAAATCAGGAAAAGATCTAATCCACAATCAAACTTTGTTTTTCATCAATGAGCAGAGGAAAAGATTTCAGTGGGTCAGCTGCTGATTCTAACATTATCAGCCTACTTTTGCACTGATATTTGCATTTAGGCTTGGATAATGACTACCATCTCCAGCTGCATACCTCTCAGCTAGTGCCGCACACTCAAGGTGGCCCAACTAGGCAACCATGCACCTAACTATAACCAAGGTCTATGAAGCTCATACTGTTAGAACACTTGCTCTCATTTCGTCCAACCTTGAGAGGTGCATCAAAACGATCCTATTCCTAAGAAACTCTCTCTCCTTCTGATAGCTTCCCTACACTTGAGCTTCAAGTACTTCGGGACCGAGGTGCTGTTTGAGCAGGTCACCTCACGCTCCTATGATCTCCGCTCAAAACGGTCTCTCAGTGGTCTGCACGCTCACAATACGCCAGTTTCCGTGGTCGACAATGGGTTACAGTTCTTGCGCGAAACTTTCTCAGATACGACGCGGTCTCTCTCAGCTATGGTCTTCTCACTTGGCTTGGTGACCACTATCAGTTTGGACCACTTGCGACCCACACTCTGGTCCAAGGCAATACAGCTGAGCAAAACTACAGCACAAAACACTCTTGCAAACAGTCAAGTTTTAAAACAGAAAGTACTTAACTGAGTTGTCAAACAAAACTAACGCTTGAACCAATTACAGCCTACATAAATAAACAAATACATACAACTACTTTACAAAAATATTCAAAACATTACTACTAATGTTATATATATACATAATTTACAAAACTAGCATATAATAAAAAGGCTAGCTTGTATCAGTAAACTCCACTTACATTGTTTTACTGAATGAACTTAACATGCGCACACTTCACGTACCTTTGATCTCGCTAAGGATGACCCTCTCTATTATCTTTCTTCTCTGCCCCCTTCTTTTAGTTCCTTTGCTTCTTTTAACGTATACTGAATAAACTTGTGTCGTGTTGTCTTGTTTGTGTGTGTGCCATGCGTACATGTTTGTGCTTGTATGATGTGTGTGTTTTGTAGGTTTGTGTGGTTTTGTAGGTCGTGTGTGTGTGTGTAGTGTGTGTGTTGTGTGTGTGTGTGCTGGAGTGTTGTGTGTGTGTGTGCAAGTGTGGAGCAGCAACCACCCACGAGTGTGTGTCGTTGTGGTGTGTGCTGTGTGTGTGCTGGTATGTGTGTGTGCTGTTGTGCTCTCCGATTTGTGTTGTATTGATGTGCTGCTGTTGGTGTGTCGTATTGTGTGATGTGTGCGTGTGTGTGAGTTGTGTGTGAGCATTGTTGTGTGTGTCCCTTGTGGTGTCGGTATTGTGTGGGTTGCAGTCTGTCGGTATTGTGTGTAGGTTACTGTTGTCGGTTTTGTTGTACGTAGGCCGTGTATTGTGTGTCCATGTGTGGCTATTGTGTTGTGTTGTAAGTGTGTGGTATTGTGTGTTTTTTCCGTGTCGGGTAATGTGTATTGTGTGGTGTGGATGTGGTATTTGGTGTTTGACCTGATGTGGACGCTGTTTGTGTCCGGGGTTTTTTGTTGACCCAGCGCAACCATTGGTGTTAGCGTAGCCCGTGCTCTGTGTATTGTGGTGTGTGTGTGGTTTGTGTGTGTGTTCGGTATGTGATGGTCGCCTTTGTGTGTGGTATCACTCACTGTGTGTTTGTGTGTGGTATTGTGTGTAGTGTGTGGTATTGTCCGCCATGTCGGATGGGTGTGTTTGACTATGGTGGTGTTTGGTATGGTGTGGTCTGTGTGTAGTGTAGGGATTGTGTGTGTGTAATGTTTGTTGTGTGGGTGTGTGCTTGTGGTATTGCTGTGGTGTGTGGTGTGGCAACCAGTGTTGTGTGTGGTATTGCTGTGGTGTGCGTGTTGTTGTGGTATGATGGGACTGTGTGTAGTGCATGATGTGTTGTAGTGTGAATGTGTGTGGTGTGTCGTGTGTGTGTGCTGTAGATCGCTGTGTGCTGTGTGTGTTGCTGTGGGTGTGTGTGTGTGGCATTGTGTCGTGTGATGTGTGGTGTGTGTGTGTGTGTGGTTTGTTTGGGTGTGTGTGGTGTGTTGGAATTGTGTGGTGTTGTGTGTAGTGTGTTGTGTGTGTGTGTGGTGTTGTGTGTGTGTTGTGTGTGGTGTATGTGTGTAGTGTGTGTGCGTAGGTGTGCGTGTGTATTGTGTGTGTGCGTGTGGTGTGTGTGGTGTGTGTGTGTGTGTGTGTGTGTGTTGTGTTGTTGTAGTTGTGTGTTGTTGTGTGTGTGTGTGTGTGTGGGTTGTGGTGTTGTGAGCTGTGGTATTTGTGTGGTGTGTTTGTGTGTGGTGTGATGTGTGTGTGTGTGTTGTGGATTGTGTGTGTGTAGTGTGTGAATTGTGTTTTGTGTGTGTTGTATTTGTGTCCATTGTGTGTAGTGTTGATGTGTTGTGTGGATATTGTGTGTGTGTGTGGTATTGTGTGTTTTTTTTTTGTGTGTGGGTCTTGTGGGTATGTAATGCTGTTTGGTCTGTTTTTTGTGTGTGTTTTCTGTGGTAATGCTGTGTAGTGTGTTGTGCTGTCGTTTGGGACTGTGTGTGTGTGTGGTGATGCTTTGTGTTGTGCTGATGGTGTGTGTGTATTGTCGTGTGTGTGTGTGTTGTGTGTGTATTGTGCTGTGTGGTTGTGTGTGTACTGGGTGTTGTGCTCTTCGTGTGTGTTTGTGTGTGTGGTTTTGTGGTGTGGTGTTTGTGTATTGTGTGATTGTGTGTGTGTGTGTGTGGTGGTATTGTGTGTGTGTGTATGTGTGTGTTGTGTGTATGTGTGTGTGTGTGTTTGGTGTGTGATGTGGTGTAATTGTGTGTGTGTGTGTGGTAGTGTTGGTGATGTTGTGTGTGTGTATCGTTTGTGTGTGTGTGTTGAATAATGTGTGTTGTGGGTGTGTATTGTTGTACTGTGTGATGTGTGTGGTATGTGTGTGTGTGTTGTGTCGTGCTGTGGTGTGTGTTGTGTGTAGTGTGTGTGGTGTTGTGTGGTGTGGGTGTAGGTTTGTGCTGTGTGTGTGATGTGGTGTGTGTGTGTGGTGTGTGTGTGTGTGTGTGTGTGTGTGTGTGTGTGTGTGTTGTGTGTATATGCTTGCGCATGTTTGTGCTCATATGCATGTTGTTGCGGTTGTGTGTGTTTGTGTGTGTGTTGTGTGTGTGTGTGTGTGTGTGTGTGTGTGTGTGTGTGTGTGTGTGTGTGTGGTGTGTGTTGGTGGTGTGTATGTGTATGTGTATGTGTGTGTGTGTGTGTATGTTTTGTGTGTGTGTGTGGTGGGGGGGGGGGAGTGTGAGTGTAAGTATGAGTGCGCTTGTGTGTGCATATGCTTGTGCACTTGTGCTTGTGTGTGTATGTGTGTGTGTGTGTATGTTGTGTGTGTGTGGGGGGGGGGGTGAGTGTGAGTGTAAGTATGAGTGCGCTTGTGTGTGCATATGCTTGTGCACTTGTGCTTGTGTGTCAATGTAAATTCACACCAATCAATACTTTCACACTTTCTTGTTTCTAAATCAGATATTCCTAAAGCTGTCAATTCCCAAAAGTTGAACTCAGACACTGCCATGCTGCAACCAGTAGTACACCAACACTCAACAAAAAGTGCATGCATACACAGCACACTACACAGAAATCTACGTCTCCTCTGTGACAAAAATCAATCAATCTTTACCAAAATCTATAACTTCAAGTAATCTCTTACATTTCTTACTTATCAATATCTTTCAGGCAGTCCAAAACATGAATAACAATTATAATCACAGATAACAACCATACCGCCATTTGACATACAGTTACTTGAGGTCATGCTTGCCTTCCTTATTAATAAAAGCTGTTGGCTGAAAGTAAACCGTCATTCTAGCCAATAAACAGCCTCTTCTACATTTCATAATCTCTGGCCAGGCATGACAAGACAAGGACAACTACTCTGTATCTGACTGGCCAATGTATGAAGCATCTACAAAGCTATGGCCACTGACTAAGGGGAGGGGAGGGCACACGTGTTAAGGGACAAACTGACATGGATGCAACACACTACTTACGGGCATGTTATTCTCTTGGTCCGTGTTGTTGAAGTTATTAATTGAGTTGTCATTATTAGTGTTATCTGGAATAGGGCAGACACACAAAGACATTCAGAGGTCAACAAGAAGGCCTGACTACAGGAAAACATTAAAATACAAAGAACATAAAAATGTGTAAATAAATGAAAATGAAACAGAAAACAGTACACAAAGAATGAAAGAAACAAACACCTATGGAGCCACCCTCACACAAAAGGAACAGAACACTAGGAAATGCATAGGTCACTTTGAAAGAAAAGTTTTTCATTAATTTGAAATAGTAAATGGGACATCTTCATATCTTAGATTTCCTCTTTCCTTTAACACAAAATTATATTAATCAGTTTCTCACACACATAAAGAAATATAACCCTAGAAAATATCTACACAAGTACCTAAAAACTACAATGCTCAAGGCATGTCAAAACCCCATACCTATTTGCTGTTAATATTACAAAATCCATTCCAAATCTTTGCTCAATCCCAGAATATCCTGTGAATATCATATTCTTTAGCAAAATTTTTTTTTTTCATATTCTACAATCAGTTCTTTTCTTAACACTACCTTTCCTTTTTACAAGAACTTGTACACAGAAGTCTTTCTTAAAGTTCATTCTCCAACCTGAAATTCCAATTTGCACTGCCCATACAAAATGCAAATAGGTCCATCACTCATTCAGACTCAAATGCTAGGAGGCAACTAGGAACTCGCTAAGAAATCTTTAGTCATCTCAGGATTTCCCATACAGTTTACTCAAACTTTTTGGAGGAACTGAACCGTATTTAACTGCCTCAAGCCTGACTTGAAAAAGTACTCGCTTCCAGATCTTCTCTTAAAAACAATAAAAATCCTGTGTTTTTGCATGTCAAAAAATGTAACAAGCAGAAAAAAATCTACATTAAACTCAAAGTAATTGCACTTTCTAATAAATGATCACAGTATCAATGAATGCAAAAAAAGGTCTACATTTGCTTTATATCATGAAACAACATGCAGTTAAGTGCAACTGTCAGTGCGACGGCATATGTGCTTATGCTTGACTTATCTTCAGACCAAATTTAAGATTCAACAAGTCTTAAAATTAAAATTTTGGCTTATGCAAATTAAGCATTACACTTCCTGAAGTCTTTATTTTTTAAAATTGTAAATATAATTTACTTTAAAAAATATAACAGGCAGTACTCCAAGTGTCTTTATATTAGTTATTTTCACATGTCCAATCACAACACAAGGCAGATTCATTATCCCAAAGGGCATATTTTATGGATTTTCATTGAACTGTTTAAATCATTGAATTTGTGTCATCACATTTTAATTAGAAGAGACCATACATATTTTTTGTGTGTTTGGATATCTTTAAGTAAAAAGAAGTCTACTGCTATACGGGTACTTGATATGTAAAACATATGTTGGTGGACAGTGGGCCCAGGTTTGTCTCAAGCCAGCTTGGAGGTGGCTCAGGCCACAGGTTGGTAACAGGGCCTGTGAAAATGTAAACAAATACAAAAATTCTATTGTGATGCACGGCTCAGCCTTAAAGGTTCTGGGACTCCCTCACTTGCTTCCTTCTGCAAGTTGCCTTCTAGCACATAGCCATATCACAGGTTTGCTGTGGCAAACCCCCTTTACTTTCAATCCTAGTAAGATGAATAACATTTATATATAACTACTCACATATTGCATATAATAAATAGATAATACGATAAATAAATAAAAAACAATGACTAAAAATGTGAATACATATCACAAAAAACATAAACATATATGCATATATGTGAAAAATATATATTATATAATAGATTATATATATATATATATATATAATAATATATAAAATATTATAATATATATATAATATATATATATATATATAAAATATATACATACATATATTAAATTATAATATACAATATAATATGAGTAGATATATAAATATATTATATATATATATTATAATATTATATATAAATATAATATGTATATATATAATATATATATATATTAATATAATATATATTATGTATAATAATATTGTATATATATAAATCTCAAATATGGTATAATATCAGAGAGATTAAGTTATATGATTGGTAAGATATATTATATATATATATATGTAAATATATATTATGTATCGTATTAATATAATATATATAATATATATAATAATATAATATATTACCTATAGTATATATACCCATATTATAATATATACCCTATATATATATACCTTTATTAATACAATAATATATTACAATTATATATATACAAATTAACATTATACCAATAATTACATACATAAATACATCATAATATAGACATCATAAATAATATAATAAATAGTAGCAGAAATCATACTATAATTTAATATTATAATAATATACTATAGCTAGCTACATAGTATTGTATATACGATACTATATTATAATTATTATAGATAAATATATAATATATTAAATACTATATAAATAATAATAATATATATATTATATATGGTAAGTAGTTTAGCTGCTGTCTCTCTCTCCCTCTCCACTATCATTTAGGGATAACTATCTTATATGTATATAGTAAATATTTATATATAAGTATATAATATTATATAATATGTTTAGAAATATATGTATGATGAGTATATATAGTTAATAGTAATATGTAATACTATATATATATATTATGTTAGTGGTATAATAATAGATGGTATAAATATATATATATTATATTATATTATAATAGCTTAGTATTTTTATATAATACAAGATAATACAAATTTAAATTATACTTTAAGTATAGAAATATTAAATATATATAGATACATTATTTTATCAAGTGATCGAATGCATAAGTAGATCTTAATAATATATAAGATTTACTTACTAATAAATTACATATATCTAATATATATTATACAATATTTACAAGTTATGTATGATATAATACTTACTTATAGGATAATTATATATATTATATATATGCCGCCAGTGATTTATCGGTCGTTATATATATAGTATATATGTTATAAGTGATATTGACTTATTGTACATAATATGTAGTCATAGTAATATGTAATATAATATGAATATATTTAGATCTAATATAAATAGTACGTATATATTCATAATATATATTGTGTGTACTATATAAATATATAGTAGATATATATAGTTACAAGATACTAATATGTATATAGTTTATATTATACACTATATATATCAATATATTTATATATTATATTATTATTATATATTATGTTATATAGATATTATACAGATCAATACAGTATACAGAACATAAGTTGGAATCTCGTATCTATATGATATATTATATATATTGATTATCATTATTATAGTATATACATATCATAAATATAACACTATATATCTACATTATTATATGTATATATATGCGTATTATAATATATATATATATAATATATATATATATATATATATAATGTAGTATCTTATTAAGATATAAAGAAATACGTATATATTATAACATATATTATGTATACATATATAATAATATTATTTATAATATAATAAATGTATATATATATACAGTTACAATACTGATTATACATAGACTACTAGACAGTAATACATTACATTAGTACTACATATAGTATAGTACATTATATATAATATATAATATATACTTAGTGTGATAAATTAATATCATGTATATATATATATAATGTATATAATATATATGGTATAGGTAATATTTACCAGTATACATTAACATATACAGACCCTATTACATAGTGATATTTGTGTTTATATATAATATTATAATTTATTCATATAGTAAAAATACTAAAGTATGTAGTATATATGTATAGTATATATGTCATAATATGTCATATATATGTATATATAATGCGTGTCTATCAATATGTATATATAGTAATATATGCAAACTATATACTTATCATCTTATAATATAGAATATAGTATATATACTATGTGCATGGACTACTAATAGTACAACATTAACATGATATATATATATAGTATAATAATACTATGTATATAATAACATTTATTAATTACATAATACTTACAGTATTATATATAGAATACTAGTATATGACTATGATTGAGTAGTAATAGTAAATATGACTATATATATGTATGTAATATAACCCATATGTATATATTATCTACTATCTTAGTATACTTATACATAATATATACTAATAATATATAACTAATCATTTATATAATGTAATACTATCTACGTTATAAAGTATTATATATAACATATATATAAGATATATATACATACTAGATGATAAATTATACGTATATATCTGTCTATAGTATTATTGATGTGTACTACTAGTTAGATACTAGTATAGATGTAGATAGATACATATATGTGTGTATATACATACATACAATACTATATGTACCTATACTACCGTACTACTATATATAATATATATAATCTATATATCAGTTTATATATGACTAGATTTATGTATACTTACTATATAGTACTACATACTATAGTTAACATAGGTAATATATATATGATATATAATATATATATATACCTAATATATATGTATAATATATGCAACGCATGGTATAACTAGTATATATACTATAAAATATATATAAATTCAATATACTTATAATATATAACTACTATATAAATATATATGACTAAACAATATATATATATGACATAGTATATAAATACGAAATATACGTATATAATATAATTATTACGTTAATTATTAAGTTTGAAATACTATAAACTATATATATTCGTTTACATATGCACAAAATAGAAAATACATAACAGATATACATACATAGTATATACATATACACTATTAATACACCGTGATATAGTGGTATATATTTTATTTGCTTATTTATAGATAATCATAAGTTATAATGATTTAAGTATATTATATATACAATATAATCATGATATATTGATAATATATAATTATACATATATATATACACTTACATAATGTACGTTATATATATCAGGTACAACGTACTATAAGCTATACATATCTAGTCG